TGTTGCGCATGGATGGTGTCCCTGTTCATACTTTCGATGTGAATTGTCAAGGCCACATTATGAGCCCTTTGTTACGGCTTATTTTAGTAATGAGGTTTATTAATAGTAATGAGGCAATTGCTTGGGCTATTAAATAGTGTACTGAGTACTATCTATGCTTTGAGTCAAGTTCTTTAACAAAATTAAAAATGACTAAAGTACCAAAAACTATAAAACACAAAAAACCATCGACATCACCAAGTTCTCTAAACCTATCAGTCTTATCTTCTATTGAGTGTTATCTCTTGCAAGTTTTAGCAGACCTACTTGCTCTGTCTGAGACTAATTTGAGTTCAGCTGTCTTATCTTGCGATCTTAGTGTTGATGGTTATCTTCCTTAAACTCATAATTTGTAAGAATTCGCCCATTTGTTGGGAAACTAGGTTTGAATCCAGACAGTTCTTCTATGTGCTTTCATTTAGCACTACTTCATTCTATTGCCTCTTTGTTTTATATTGCTCTCCTTCATCTTCAGACTGCGCACTTTTTGATGTTATTTCTGATCAAATTGACTAAGCCCTCGGTTGTAAAGACAGCAAAGTCAGTAGTATTAGAGCTAAGTCATTTAGTATGTATACATATTTAGGTGTTTCACTGTTTAGTTTTATTTATTAAATGTAAAATATTTGCAGGCTTTGTTCGCTTTGTAATATTTTTTAAAGAATTCTAAGAATTTTTCAAAAATTTTGCTATGGAAATTTCAACGAGTCAGAGTTGGTCCTTTTTTTTATGACTCCACTCCCCTGTTTATGATGTTTGTTGGAAAAGCAAAAAATCAAAAAGTCAATATTATGCCTTTAATTGTTAAGATTAACAGACATGTAAAACAAATCCATGTTAAACAATTTTATAAAGTGCAACCTCTTCTTTTGTTTGCTTAGTGTCAACTTTCCTATAGTTTTTAACTAACCTAAACAGAAATTGTTGAAGATAATTAAGCATTATAGAAAAGTTGATACAAAGAGCTGTAAAAATCAACACAAAGTGCTGTAAAAGTTGCCAAGAATTATCGACTTTTACAAGCCCATCAACTTACAATTTACATTACATGTTTGATGTAGTTAGTTATTGTTCTTTGGGAACTTGAACAGTTTTTTTTTTTAATAAGCATTGTCATTCTTAATTATTTTCTTATTCTTATTCAAAAACATTCTCTAATAGAGCCCACAAACTTTGAAACTCTCAGAAGATCTTAATGTCAGGACCGATTGATGGTGAACTATAACTAGGGTTGCCAGATGTCCAGCTTTTACAATGCAGAAAAATTTATTTTTACAGATTTGGCACTATATGTCCTCCATATAATCCTCCGTAAAACCTCCTGTAATCTCCTCCGTAAAAGCCGGACATCTTTCAACCCTAACTATAACGCTTCTCAGTATTGTAGTTTATGCCATGTCTTTCAGGCCATCAGAATGTTTCCTGCGTTATGGAGAAAGTTCTTTTGATCATCATGTTTGTAATAAAGGGTTCTTGTCAAATAATCTTGAGTCGTTAATACAAGGGGGTCTGGAAAAAAGGATGGGAATTTTAGTCCAGATCTATTAAAAGGGGGCAGGGGTTAATAAAAGGGGAGGGACAGGAGTTTTTTTTTTCTAAACTATACTGATTTTGGTTAGTTCATGAAAACTTCAGTTCTGACATCATGTTACAACACAAGTATTTTTTATAAAAAATTTCAATTTATAAATCCAATCTAATATTTTTTACTAAACACTCATAAAACTATTTAATTCAAGTGTGGCTTGCAGTTAAATGCGCATTTTCTAACAATTGTTTTATCATAATTTTAATAGGCTTTAATATGCTGATATAAGTTTTATACTTTGGTGAGTTATAAACCAATAGCTCATTTTTGACAAATTGAGATTTACTTGGTTGATGATTTTTAAAGCCCGTTTACACTGAAAGTTTTTGTTTTTATTAGTTAGTGAAATAATTATTTTTTAATTTTTTTTTTTTTTAGTTTTGACTTATTTTTGTTAGTTTTGAGAATTGGCAGAGGGAGGGGGTCTTAATAAGCTTAGGGTGGGTAGGAAAATTTTCCAAAAAATTAATAAACATCTCTTCCCCATGTTTTGAGGACTCGATAGTACCAAAGATCACTAGCATCTTTGTACAATAGTTATATTACATAGGTATGAACATACTTAAGTTTAGAGTTTGCACAATGTGCTATCTAAAACATCAAAAAATACTGTGGGAGCTTATGCTTGTTAGACTTTGTGTAAAGTGTAAATAATCAGAACAAAATTAAAAATTTTTATGGTTGTAAACCAAGAAACTTATTTTACATTAATTTTTTTAAAATTGTAATTTATTGTGAAAATAAATAAAATCCTATATTTAAAAAATATATTGGAAATACTATAATGGATTAAATATTTTTAATATGAAATTAATAGAACTTTGTGCATTAATTTGATTAAAATTATTATTGAAAATTTTGCTATTTTTTATTTAAATGATTTAGAATCACGATTATGAAAACAAAATATATTTGAGATTTTTTACCCAATGGGGTGTTAACTCTAAGAATACTTGTTTAACTAATAATAGTATGATATTTTTTTCAGATTGGCTTTAATACTGTCACTTTTAAACCATAAAGAAAATATGCTGCATTTTGCAGATCACTCACAACAGAATTTTTTTCCCCCACTGAAAGTTTTATTTTCAGCATACCACTCAATGTTAGATTAAAATAAAAATAAATCATTTATGAAGGTATTAAACAGTAACGAACTTAAAGTTAAGGCTTGTTATTCCAGCATTAATGCATAGTTTTTTAGCATTCAAACGTATTTAGTACAAAGTCTAAACATAAAGAGATAGATTTAGATATTCAAATAGGTAGAGTAAGAGGTCGATTAATATATTCTTGTTTTAGAGTTAAAGCCTGTTTAGTTAGGTATAATTTCATTTAACTTGCTGTAATTTTATTGTAGAGCATTCTGTAATGTCCAGCCAGACAACAGAAATTTTATTATATTAAGTTGTTATTTTTGTATATATTTAAAAAAAATTTGATCCTAATTATAACAATGCTATCATTTTGTGGACTATAAGCTGTGGAAAAAAAATTGGAAAAAAAAAAAGTTGTTTCATATTTCATTTTTCTAAAGACAAAAAAAAGACAGCTAATTATATGAAATAAAAAATGAAATGTCTAAAAAAAATTTTCTAAAAAATTGTCTAAAAGGATTTTCTTATTTTTGCCCAGGATCGTTATATATCTACTTGAAAAATTTTAATGCAAATAAAGGAAAAGGTCCTTTTATGGGTGGATGGATGGTTTATTCAAAAAGTTAAATTATATCATAGGTGTGCAGATGTATTCTTTCTTAGTTCAGCTGAGAATTCAGCAAATTTTTTGTCACTAGTTTGTAAAATGTAAACAACTTTTATGAAATTTATTAGCAAATTTTTTGAAAGAAAGGGACTAGACATAATTCTCATCAATAAAATTAAAAAAAAAAAGTCATTTTGAGTTTTTGCATAATTAACATGAAGAACATGTGCAGTTTTTTGGAAAAAAATAAATGTTCTGTTGTTTTTTTTTTTTTAATTAGTCTTAGAGTTTTATATTAAAATTTTTTTTTTTAATGACACAAACATATGAAACAATTTATTTAAAGAATCACATAAACCTACACAGGTATGCGGGAGGGGGGGGGGGGTTTGCCTAATAACCTACAAATGCGTATAACGGGGAGGGGGTGTTAAAAACAGGAAATATGTACATTGTTTGACTATCTCTTGTTCTCTATCTTTCTCTTGAAACTTTAATCCTTTTTTTATTAACATTGAATTTCACGAGTATAAAAAATCAATATTATATCATACAACAGAGTAATGTTGAATTAAAGTTTTTTTATTTTCAATCTTTGAAAAATGTTTGCATAGATTGATTTTTTATTAAATAATGCATACGTATGCAGAAGAAGGAAAGGGGATCCTTAAAAGCATACAGATGTGTACATGCAGGGATGGGGTCCTAAATCAGTGGTTTTACTGTGTACGTAATTTATGGATGCCTTAAAGTCAAATGCAAAAATAATTGCATATTGTTCATAATTGATATATAATAATAGTATTGTTTCAAATTGTTTCTATTTTTTTAATTATTTTATTATATATTTTCAAATTATTTGTAATTTATTTTTATAAAACGTTATAAATGATTTTTATGATTTACAAAAAATTATTAAAAAGTTTTTAAACATGTTCTCTTCCCCCCCCCCCATTGTTTCATTTATATTAAACATCTTAATGTTAATCTTTACAAAATTGAAATATATATATATATATATATATATATATATATATATATATATATATATATATATATATATATATATATATATATATAAATATATATATATATATATATATATATATATATATAAAAGTTTGTATTTAATGGCGTTTAAATGCTTTTTCTCTAGAAATTTAAAAAATGCTGCATATATGTAAGTCAAAGAATAAATAAAGTTGATACAATTTTAAACTTATTTCCAGGAATTTTTTAGTAATTACCTTCATTTTTGCTCTTTAATTGATAAATTGAGTCAAATCTTAAAAAGGTTATTTTTTGATTTTCTTGAGTGAAAATATAGGCTTAAGATTTTAAGAAGATTTTAAGAAGATTTCCCAAACTATTATTCAGAAGTTACACACACGCATTGTATATGAAAATATTACTTTGATTAATTGCTTCATATAATAGTTTAATTGATTTTAAATTCCTATGTTGTTTTGGAGAATTAAAATGATTCAGTTCAGCTGAACTATGCTCAGCAAAACAACATTTTAAGCTTTGATTTAATTCCCTTGCTATAGAGTAACCTAATAAAGTTTTTTTTTTTTTTTAATTTAAACTTTTTAATTTGGAAATTTTTTTTTTTTACTCAAACAAGAATCTATAATTTGTGTCTAATTTCTTAATGATTTTTTTTTAGCCAAATTGACCATGTATCCTACCAGAGGTTATATGCTTCACCATACTTTCAACGCGAAAACTATGAACGTATTCAAAAATGGTTAAATGAGCAACCTGACTTTATTCTTTACCCACCCTCAGAGGATGATTCCGTCTCATCTTCGATATATTCTAATTACAAAATGAATAATGAGACTGCAAGTAAATATGAAACAAACAATAAAAAAATACTAAAACATTCATATGAAGATGAACTAAGTAATAATTTTCAAAATACTAAAATATTTTCACCAAACACAATGAGGCGTCGAAGATATATACCATATTCCTATCCTACTTTAACCCAATCCCAAAGTTTGTCTTGTGTGAATGAGTTAGGCTTACCTGATCAACCTGACACAAGACTACATCCAAGGAATTGTTCTGTTTTAAATAAAGGCAATACTTTTCCTAGAAGAAATCATATATCAAATAAACAAAGTTCTAATATATTTCAACAAGCTCAAGTTCGGAAAAATCGTCGAACATTGCATGATGATTTATATAAAAACACTGTAATTCAAGGTCATCAAACTAAGTTAAACCATCATATTGATTCTAAAGAAGTTTTATCGAGAAAAAATTCATCAAAACCTGTTTTTCAGCCAATACCTCTGGACAGTGCAAATTCAAATGCTTATATAAATTCATCTAATTTCACAACTGGGGATCATTCATATAAAGTTAAAACTTTGGCTGATAATAGTCAACTCAAAGATATTACTACAATTAAGTCCGAACATTTATCTCACAATCAATCTAGTGAAATTCCATTAAAAGAACCACCTAAATTTGATCGTAAAACAGATAATGATCAAAATGAGAATAAAGTTTTAACTTCATCATTCGATAATATTGAATTTCTAGAAAATCCTTCCCCTTTGTTTGATTTCCCAAAATCACCAGAATTACATTTAGTTAAAGCATATTCTTGGCCTAAACGACCTGTATATTTTAGAAATGAAAATTATTTATTTAAAAATGAAGAAAGTACTCCAAAAAAGATCTTAAATAAGACTGAGGAGAGTGGTTATAACACGGAAAAAAGTGAAGAAAAATGGGATTCTCAATCTGCAAAAAAAATTAGCTCCCCTATTAATGATACTTTTGCCAGTGAAAGTTCTTTGTGTAGTGACATCCCTCCAGAGCGTCCACCATTACCATACAATAAGGAGACTGTAACATGGCTAAAATTACCACATGATACAAAAACAGATCTTGATACATCAATGTCTTTAAACCAACTTAGTGTTCCACATGTGGTTCCTGTTATCAAAGGTAGTGATCAAACCATAGAAATCAGAAATTTAAAGGATTTGCTAATCAAAAATGAAGTAGATCAAATAATACATAAAAAATCAGAAAGTGCTGAGTCTCCAAATCGTTCAACAATAACTGATCTTCAAAATCGCTCAACTGATCTTCAAAGCATCAGTTTAAGAGATTTAATAAAACTCCATGAAGAAAAAATTGCTAGTGTTTCAGCACGATCAACCTATAAAGGTGGTTTAAAAAGGTTTTCCCCTGTCCTAATGAGAGATGTGAGTTCTGAAAACAAAGCTAAAAACTCATGGAAAAGGCATACAACTATTGGTTGTAATGGTTTTGAAAAGTATAATGTTGAAAATTTTCAACCTATAGAAAATGGCGAGGGATATCTTGCTTTTTCAAGTAGTGAACACTTGAACAAACCTGTTGAAAAAGTAGTAACTAATTCGATCAGCAATTATTCTCGTTCCGATTCGATAGCTTATTTAAAAAGCATGAGTGGATCATTAGTTTTATCAAAAATAGTAGACTCATCAGTTTTAGTATCACGTGAACAGCAATACCAAAATCTTATTTCCTTACCCTTTGCTTCAGATAGATTGGATTCACAGCAAAAACTCAGGAGCACCCTTACAAAAGACGCTTTTTCGCAGACTACGTCAGTTTCACACTCCACTCAAAGTCATCTTGACACTGTAAAAGAGTTAAATTTAGAGTTAGAAAACTTAAAACTTAAACATAAATATGAATGCGATGATTTGATTCGTAAGTTAGAGGAACAAAAGAAGGTAGCAAATGCTTATCAAAAGCTTGAAGACAGGTATAGACGAAAAGTGTTTGATCTACAAAAAATGATGAAGAGTTGTACTTGTACTCGCAGATCTGCTAAAGACTATTTATTTGAAAATGGCTGCAACTCTCTAATGTATAACTATTTTTATGTTTTTTTTGTTTTTATCATTTTGTATATTTAAAAAATATAATTTTTTTTTAATTTTTTAATTGCTTATTTAAATTATTTTTGCGGTCAAAAACGTTAAAAATTTCTTTATTTGTAGAAATCGTCAAACAGTATTAGAAGATAATCACGATATTTCTGTACAGAAAGTGGATGGAATTCTTAATCAACTTGAAGCTTGGTTAAATCACGAACAAACTGAAGAATACAGCGATGAAATATTGTCATTTTGTATGAACGAAAGTGTTACCAAGTCAAATCGATATATTAATCATACACTTGATATTATTGACAAGTTTGATGCGACTTCAGTTTAGAATGTTTTAAGTTAGACATTAATAAAAAATAAACATATATAATATATAAACGCACCTATTTTATTATTATTTTACATTTTCATGTTATTTGTTAATCTTTATCTCTCACTTTCAGTTTATTGTTTTTAGTGATATTCATAATTTTTAAGTTGAAGCTTATTTTTCATATTTTTAGTTTTAATTTAGTAACGTTTTCTGCAATATATTTTTTGTATAATTTTTAAAAATAAACTTTTTTTAAATAAAGTTAAGTTATTCTTAAAAGAGTAACGGAAAACAAATAATAAATAATCATTAGATGAATCATTAATGGATGTAACAATCATCAGGGTGGTTGGTGCGATCTAAACACCCAAAAGCAGATATAAAAATAAGAAAATAAACAAATACCAGTATAAAATTAAGATATGTTTTAAGAAATCTATTTAAGTCAATTTGTTGCATAGTGTATCGTATAACCTTTTGATTTATGAATGCGCTGGCCAAACTTTTTGGCCATTTTTGGCATTTTTAAAGAAATTTGCCTTACAAAAATTTTGAAATTTATGTGCTGGCGAAATATTTGTTGTAAGATATTTTCCTATTTATTGATAACTACCCAATTGCCCACTCATTGCATAATTGTTTAGTGTGTTGCAGGCACACATGTTTTGCGTTTATAATACATAACCTACAATATATATAAATATATATATATATATATATATATATATATATATATATATATATATATATATATATATGCACACCAGGCCTGCAAATTTCCTACTTTATTTTAATTTTAATTGTGGTATTGTAAAGATTCGCGTATGCGCATAGGAAATATTGAAATTTTAGTGTTAATTGAACGAAAACGTAACTTTTCGCTTCTATTTTACATTACGAAGAAAATAGTAGGAATGAAAAACATGAATGAAAATGTTTACGAATTATGAATGAAACGTATTTAAAAAAAAAGTTTTGCAAAGATTCTAAACAGTTCTTGAATAATGGTGTTTTTTGTTGATTGTTTTTTTTTTTTGCAAATTACGAGTAAATTTTGTTTAAACTTGTATTAATCGTCCTGGGCGGCAAATCTTTTAGGTACGCTATTTCCTAAAAGTTTTTTCCTTATGTCAATCTTTAAATAGATTGCAAACATAGTACAAATATATAACGTATAATACATTATATCCGTGTCCCGGCTAATATTAGTGTTAAACTAGGGCCGAGGTTGTAAAAAGCTCTTACTAATGAGAGAATATTTCAAACAAACCATGATTTTTTAAAAAGATTTTAACCAAACCATGATTTGTTTAAAATGTTTTTATTTTCAACAATTAATTGGTGCCTAGTGTTCAGATTTGGTTCTGCTGTTTTATTAGCAAAGATAACTTTATATATATATCCCATTTGGAGTACTTGATATATCCGATTTATCAATTATTTGCCATTTATTGACAAAAAATAAAATTGTATTTTCACCACTCCATATAAAATTTAGCTTGATGAACAACTTGTAAAAACGCTGAATAAACAACTTTTACTAAAAGCATACAATATTTCCTTGAGCGCAGTAAAAGCAAGTGAAAGTGTGTTTTCAATAAATCCCAACATAATAAAATCTGCTATATTACACTCTGTATAAATGAAGCAGTAGTTATTTTTTTAAAAGTTTGTTTGTAGGGGTTGCTAAATTTCTTGGAAACCTTAAAGATTTTATGTTGGCGTAGTTCAAAATTTATTTCAAGCTTTTTACTCTCTTGGTTGCAACATGAGTATTAAATTCTTTATATAATGTTTAAATTCTTGTTAAATAACCATTTAACAAGGATAAGATAAAAAAAAATTTTATTAAATTCTTTATATAATGTTTAAATTCTTTTTAAATAACCATTTAACAAGGATAAGATAAAAAAAAAATTTATTAAATTTTACAAGATTGCAAAGTAAACGAAAATTTTATTAATTTTTACACGATTAACTAGTAAATTATGTGTCTGAAGAAAGATCAAGAGGATCTTTTCATCAGAATTTTGTACAGACGTACACCAACATATAAATTAAAAAGTAAAAAGTATAAGAACAATGAATAAAATCAGTATGAATAAACTTCTATAAACGTAAACATGTATATTCTTTTTTTATTTGCATTCACTCCCAACAAGGCTGCAAGCAACCACTATTAAGTTGGGAGTTACTAGGAAAAAAAAAAGAACAGAGTTATAGAGCAAGGAAACGGTTGACAGAAGACTTGAAAAGTTGAAGGTTGTATGAGTCAGGAAGATGTGAGAGAGTTCCAAAGGATTGAAGTGCGGGGAAAAAAACTAGATGAACAAAAGTTTTTAGAGCATGCAGGGACAGATACAGTAAACGAATGAGACTTAGCTGAATGACGAGTAAAACGAGAATGAATTTTAGTTGATGGAACTAGAGATGATAACTCCTTTGAGCAGTGACCATGGTAGTATCTGTAGAAAAGAGAAAGAGATGCAACTTTACGACGATGGGAAAGAGGTTCAAGCTTAGCAGATAGTCCAGGTCCAACAACATTTACAATGCGTTTTTGGACCTTGTCAAAAAGAGAAAGTGAATCGTTAGAAAAACCAGCCCAAATATGACAACAGTATTCCATACAGGGACGAATAAGAGATTTGTAGAGGTAGAGAATGGAATCAGAAGTAAGGAAATGGCGAGCACGATAAAGAGAAGCAACCTTAGCAGAAGCTAATTTAGAAATCGATTGTATATATGGTTTCCATGAAAGGTCAGTAGTAAGCGATAATCCAAGAAGACGTAAAGAGGACGACTCAGTAAGAAGATTGCCATTCATTAATATAGGAATGTTGACCATATTACGGTAGTTGTTTGCAGTAAGCAATTGGGTTTTTTTAGAGTTGAAATTCACAAGCCACTGTGAACCCCAATCTATTCAATCAGATTCAAGATCAGCTGCTTGTTCTAGGCGATCGAAAAGAGAAGACTTTTTGTCAAGACAGGAGTATAAAGTTGAGTCATCAGCAAAAAGAGCTTTAGATGAAAGGTTGTCAGGAAGATCGTTTATGTAGATAAGAAACAAAACAGGGCCCAGGATGGAACCTTGGGGAACCCCAGAAGTTACTGGAAATAAAGAAGAGTGTTGGCCTTCAAGGATGACTTTAATAAACCGGTCAGAAAGAAATGATTTGATAATCTCAAAAACTTTCCCAGAAACACCATATGAAGCAAGCTTATGGAGAAAACAAGCATGCCAAACTTTGTCGAAAGCTTTAGATATGTCGAGAGCAATAGCCCTAGCCTCACCGCCTCCATCTAATGCACGATAAAATCTTTCAGTTACAGCAGTTAGCAAGTCGGCCGTAGAGCGAGAGGATCGAAAACCGTATTGATTGTGTGACAGTAGTTTATTTGACTCAAGATGAGATGTGAGGAATTTGTTGATCAAAGACTCTAAGACCTTGCTAATAACAGAAAGAAGACTGATCGGACGATAATTGGAGGGGTCAGAATTTTCTCCAGAGTTTTTGAATATTGGAACCACAGATGCCATTTTCCAACAAGCAGGAAAACAAGACTCAGTCAAACACTTGTTAAATAGTTTAGAGAGAATTGAAGAAAGTTCTGGAGAACAGTTCTGCAAGACTGTGACAGGAATGTTGTCTGGACCACAAATTGTAGAGGAGTTTAATTGAGATATGACTTTAGCAACAGAAGCCGGAGTGATTTGAATGTCTAACAATGGGTCAACCTGTTTGACTGGAATGGAAAGAAGAGAATGTCCATAAGATTCAAGAGTGGAACTAGAAGAAAAGTTCTTTGCAAACAGTTCTGCCTTATCCCTGGGACAGGTAACAAGATCAGTCCCATGAATGAGAGATGGAATGTTAGATCTACCCTTGTTAACAATGCTGTTGAAGATTTTCCAAAAGTCTTTATAGCCTAACTTCTGCGATAAGATGCGAGATTTAGTGAACTGAGAATAATGGAGTTTAGCATCAGAAAGCACCTTTCTACATCGATTTCTTGCAATAATAAATAGCCGTTTGTTCTCAAGAGAGTTGTTCTTTTGAAAAAGATGAAAAAAATGATTACGATTAGATATAGCAGCCGCACAAGAAGGAGAAAACCATGGAGTAGAATGAGGCTTGACTTGAAACCGACAAGAAGGAATAAAAGCTTCCATTCCAGCCTGAATCCAGGAGGTTACGTAGGAGGCGCATTTGTCAGCTGAGAGAGAAAAAACATCAGCCCATTGACTATCACGAAGAAAATCACGAAAGGAATCCCAGTCAGCTTTAGGGTAGTAGTAGGTAATGCGATGATAAGGTGAGCCCAAAAAAGAAGTACGAGAAGAAAGATTTATAGAGATCATTGCATGGTCAGAACCACCTAAGGGAGAAAAGGGAGAAACTGAACATAAGCTAGAGTCAGAGACAAGACATAAGTCAAGGAGTGAAGGTAAATGATTAGGGTTGTCAGGAAAACGAGTCACAAAGTTAACTATCTGAGTAAGAGATTGAGAAACGCAGAAGTTAAAGGCTTTAGTGCCAGCAGGATCAGTGGTGTTAGAGCCAAGCCATTCAGTGTGATGGGCATTAAAATCACCAACAACAACAATATTGGCAGAGGGCTAAAGAGAGAGGGCATGGTCAATTTGATCAGAGATAACATCTAAAAGAGTGCAATCATGGGAAGAAGGAGAACGATAAAGAACAAAGAGAAAGGTGATAGAGTGAAGAGGTGCTAGGCGAAAGCACATAAAAGAATGGTCAAAGGATTCGAACCTGATTTCACGACAAATAGGGGAATTAATGCGTATGTATACCCCTAAACCTAGCATGTGACTATTGGAGTCTTTACGAATCAAAGGATAGTACCCATCAACACTGACATCTGAAGAAGGAATTGCAGAACTTAAATTTGTTTCACTGAGTGCAAGCAAGTCTGGCAAATTTTGCAGGAGGTAAGACTCAACTGATGGAAAGTTGCTTCGTAGACCGCGAATATTTGTAAAAGATATATTAAAATATTTAGGTGGTGGGGATGGTTTTTTAGGTTTTAAATTTTTTGTTACTTTGGTCATGATTTGGGTTTAATGAGAACTTGACTCATTCATAGATAGAGCACAG